TATTCGAGGGCATCTATAAATGTATAATGCGCGCATCGTACGACGTGGGGCGTTAAAGCGAGAACTGGCGAGTCTCCTTATGAATTTTAATGAGGTCGTATCGTCATGTGATAGGTGTAAGGGTTGTCCCGAGTCGAGCTTCATATTCGCTGTCAAACAACCCTTAACCAAGCTGCTGGTCGCCAGTTTCCCTGTCGTCATGACTATGATCTTATACTTCAGGAGATAATCTGCGAGAGACTGTGCGAGTTGTGGTGGAAACACGATATTGACAATACTTTGTTACATATTACGTAAGCAGTAAATATTAAAGATAACACGAGAAACAGCCCTCGTGACTTTGATTACATCAATGAAAACAAAAACTAATAAGAGAGAAGTTTAGTTCTTCGTAAATCGATACGATTAATTAATCGATACGTTTTTATTCAGAAATCAATTATTCTTGTTTTGCAAAGAGCAGATATTACAGTACTACAAAGTAAGTATTACGCTTCGTCCAATTCATAGGTTTATATTAAAAAAAAAAAGAAAAAAATAAGCTAAAGAAAGAAGACGAGAAAAAGAAATAGACATGATCAAAAAGAATGGTTCGACTTTTCGGATCTCGCATCGTTAATCATTCGCACGAGATTCGATAGGCATATGAATTATTCAGTAGCTTTTCGATGCCGACTATGCATAGCTTTTGTCGGTGGCCACATTCGTCGGAAAACCCGTCAGACTTGTGTGGAAAAGTGGAGTGAGTTTGCTCGTATTCGAGCTGCCGCAGAATAGGTGTCTATGGCGGCCGTATCGGTCGCATATGGGACTCCCGCTGTAATTCATTCACGATAACATGGCTATTTCATCGCGGACCGCTATCAAACCTTTGGAAAACCAGTTTAGTTTTCGTCGAAACATTGTTTCTATACATGCAAATCATTTTTATGCGATATACATACACAAACTTATTGTGATGCTTTAAATTTATATATATATATATATATATATATATATATATATATATATATTATTAATTATTTAAAGACCTTTGACGTATGATAAAGAATTAAAATGCGTTAGATATAATTATATACATTAGAATAAATATTTGTGAATGAAATGGCTTGTCAAAGCATCACGATAATAACTAATTTTTTTCTATCAATAATCGATAGTCAATGGATAATTAAATAGTCTGCAATACCTCTGCAAGGATTAATTTTGCATTTTATGTGATGAATAAATTACGAAAATCGTAATATCTCTTCTGATTCAATATAGCAATGTTAAACGAATTTTGACCTTTCTGTACTCGTACCGAATATTAAGCATGGGCTAGTATTTCAGGATAACGCGCGCTTATTAAATTTAAATGTATTTTTTGCGTAATTTCCTTTGCAATATTTGTCTACATTTTCTATACTAAAATTCATTTCGCTAATCTTTATTTTGTGACTTTGATTTCTTATCGATAAAAATTTTTTATCTTCTGTTTGAATTTTTATCTTCTGTCATATTATAGCGATTTGAACTCAATACGAGGGTTTTCTTTTGAAGTAGGATCACCAATCGGCTGTAGAACATTAGGAAACGACATCCCGAATGTCTGTCGTCGACACTTCTAATCGTAGAAACTCCTACGAACCATCACGATTTCCTCTGCAGAAACGGCTGACTAATTTGCGTCTGTACCACTTCGTCTTATTATCGATCGTTCGCGCAAATCCCAGTCTCATCCGGAACTCGATCGGAATTTGATTTTACACTTCGCAAAATTCCATAGCATAGTAATTATTAAAATATTTAATGGTTATTCGATTTATTACAAAAATTTCGATAAAAACAAGCGGCACGAATTACATTTTTAAATTATATTCTAAACCGTATAATTTCTTTCTTCTTTAAACTTTTTTAACATATATATATATAGATTTTATACTTCGGAAATTAATGTTCTGTAAGCGATTTCTTGATCTTTTTAAGAAATTTGGAAAACTTTAGAATCGCGAAAGCAAGTTTGAAAGAAGCAGTTTTACGTTGAAAAACGAATTGTTCAAGAAACTAAACTTTCTTCGAAACAGCTTTCTTGATCTCGATGGAGCGGAAACGAATATGCTATTTCTCGATTGGATATAAGACTCAGCGCCGACGAATCCTTGAGTCGGAGATTTCGGTATATGAGGATCATAAATCTCTATTCCGTTGTTTCTTATTTTTACCGGTTATGCGCATTGCCGTGACGCGATTTATTTGTGCCAATGGCGTGAACACGCGGGTCACTGGGTCGCGAAATTCGTTGAAACTTTGCGTAGTACTGCGCGAAGCTCGCAGCTGCCACATGAATGCAATAGTAGCAAAGCGATCAAGTGTAATGGCAGCAGAATAACAATGTAGATAGCAGAGAAGTGTGAAAATACTTTATGGTAATATATAGAAAAGTCAAGACAATGATCGAATCTACAGATGTATTTTTTTAAACGTTTAAACTTTTAATGAATTCTATTATGTAAAAAAATAATTTATTATCTATATTTGATAACAGATTAAGTCTTTTGAGTATAAAACATATAATAATAATTTAATTTGTTAAAAACATTTGATACTTTATGTTTTTATATTATTTAATAAATGTTTACTCCTACTTTTAAAGTTGACACGATTTTTATGAAGATAAGCAACACTTTAGGGATTTACGGTACAATAATAAAAATATTTAGCAATATCGTACAGAAAGAAAGAGAAGTCAAACAAAATCACAGGATGCGAAATGAAACATAACTCATGTTCTCGTTCTTACGTGAGCCCTTGCACCCTTTGATGCACCTTCTCCTCTTAGCCTCATCCCGTCTCTTCAGTTCAAGCTTTACCATCTACTCCCTTTTGCCTCTTTTGACTTCTAATTCGACGAGCAAGATTCACCGTAGCGTGTGTGCCATTAACCCAAATAATTTTGAACTCGAGACTCTCCACATCAAATTTTCCTTTACCTTATCCCTTGCGTTCATCCATATTTTTTTTTCTTATTAAGAAAGCAATTAGAACTACATTGGCTTAACAGAAAAAAATTATAAATTATAAATTTTATTTATATATTTTAAAGAAAAACAATTATATATTTAATAAATTAAATATAAATTAGACTTATAAGAAAATATTTTTAGAAAATCAACAAATAAATCAGTTGTATAATTACTAGTATTATTATTCTTAAATTTAAATTCACTTTTGCTGCGTGACATTAATGATGCGTATCTTATATACAACAATTGATAAATATTATTACTACATCTTTTCTCAAATCAAATACGATACATATCTCAAAATCTTTTAATCCAATTTAATTACAAGTTAAAAATAATTAAAATTTTTTTCCATTTAATTCCTTTTTCTGACAATGATCGAATATAATTTCTTATCGCTATGAAATAATCTGAATCGCTTGGTGCATCATCGAATGCTTCGAACTACATCGAGCTGATACTTCGTGGCAGATTGTGGTGTGCAGAAAAGGTCCGTTAAGCGTTCTCATGTAAGTTCGGAAGTCAATTGGTCTGGATTCGCGTAAAGTTTCTACGTTACTTTCGACAGGAAAAGGAAGGAAAGAGTTGAGTACATTTCAGTTCCCAATCGGGGTTCTCGTGTCAGATATGGGATGTAACCCACGCGATTGACTCTTTCCAAGCTAACGAAAATTCCACTACAAAGGAACAAAACTATTTACAACTTTGACGGTTAAATTTTCCGGTATATCTATAATCTATATAATGCATGCAGACATAAATTGGACCAAACAAGACAACAGGAAATAAATAGAAGTTTATTAATCTTAAAAAAATTTTCTTATATTCTTTTTTTGCAATAATAACGCTTAACTGAATGTTTTGTTAATATTATTATAAGTTGAGATAATGTAATAAAATGTAAATTTATATCTCTATTAAAAAGATTTTTCTATTCAATAATAATTTAAAATTTTAATAATATATGCGTTTTCAATATTGAACCTTTAAAAATTATTGAAATAATATATATTCGTAATGATTAAAAGAAGATATTAATAATCATTATCAGTTAAATTTTAAATGTTTTATTTTACATATATAATTACTTTATTAATAATATAGCATGGATGGACTTTGCAAGAAAATAAACCTTTAAAAAACTGCATGCTGTCATACATATTACATACTTTTATGCAACCATTTTAGTAGTTTTACGCCGAGTTATTCTTACTCTCATATTATATTAATTTTGTTATAATTTTAGTGGTGTTATTAGAGTTTTCTCGAACTCAAGGAAATTATGAAGTTTGTTTCAATTTTCTGAGTTATCGGAAAAAATTTAATTACATGCCGTTTCGTTATTTCTTTATTATGTCACGTGATGAATAAAAATTGGCGGGTTTATAAAAGACACCATTGCTTCTACACGTTGTTTTATATATAGAATACATTGAAGATAGCAATTGCTAATTATGCGCGTATTGAAATTCCGATATGTATCGCATCGATAATGTCTTGCAATTACCGCGGATTATTGGAATACAGACGTGTGCAAAAATATAGCGAAATATTGATAGTACGGTAGCTCGGTGAATATCGGAGTTTGCGTATTTTAATATTTATTAACGGCTATTGGAGACCAGATGTAGGTCGATGTACTTGGCAAAGCGCCGATATTTGATGGCCAGTCATTAATCCTTCGCGCCAGAGATTTACGCGACCCAAGGCGAAGCGGGAATTTAACGCAATTAATTAATAATATTTATAAAGCAGTGGGCCAGGATTATTCAATGCACTATAATGACTTATTATGAACATAAAATCTTGTATTTAGACATACAGCACACTATATTCTCAACTTTTTTATTATTATATTATTATTTTGTTTACTAATCTACATTATTCATTTTTATTTTTTTTACTATTTTTTATGTACTTTTGAAATATGAGATTTTTTTCCATATAGATAATTCTTGCAGAGTATGTAACCACATTCTATTCTTTCTGTTTTAGGGATGCTTGCCAAGATTCTTGGACGCAATTGCGGCTGTCGCCAATGTTCGGCTGCATATGCCCGAATAATCATATCAAGCGACGATGTGACAAGATCTTCTCAGCGGTTAATCATAATCCTTGCGTTGGTGAGTCGAATTATAATATGCGATTTATAAAGTTCTCTCTCCCTCTCTATCCATGTATTGATATACTTCCATCGTACACGTAATCACGTATAGAAAATTCATGTTACATCTTTGTGATATTCCATCGATATAATCGTAATTCATTTATTTAATTTAAATTGTTTAATTTAAACAAAAAATAAAGGTTTGCTTTATTTCCTTTATTGAATATAATCGTACATAAACTATGCTATTGCAAAAAGATGAAACATTATTTGAGTTATTGGTATAAATATCATTGCAAAGTTAATGACAGATAAAATATTTGTTATATCTAATTTTATTGTGTAATTTTATTGTGTGCCTTTAAGTGCACGCCATGTAACGCGTAACTACGTGTACGGGGAATTCGTTTGATAAGTTTTATCATGAATTGAAATTCGAATATATTGTGATATGAATGAACGAGTACAATTATATTAGCACCTTGTGAAAAACGATTGTCGATGTTGTGAAGTAATTTTGAATATTTATGAAAAGTTTTTTCTCATATATATATACATTGAGTTTACGGGATTTATCTTTGCGTGTCTGTCTGTGTGTATCTTGTACAGAATTCTCATTTGATTTTTTTCTGTCAATGTGTGCATTGAAGCGTCCGTATCGATCCTGGATCACAGCGATTGCAATTATTCAGCAGACAAACATATTTTTAACGTTCAGATTTTATTTAAAGAAAACCGACTGCGATTTATAACTGAATTAAATTTCTTATTTTCTGTTCCAAAGAATTTTATTTAATTCAAATATATTTAGTATTTTATATTTAAAAATAAAATATGAGAAATAATAAGACATAAACTGTCAATATTATAGATATTATAGATATAATGTTCTGTTATTTAATAAAAATCTTTCAATTTTATTACATTTAAAAAAACCGATATAAATATATATTTCCTAAAAAAAAAATGCTACAAAATGTAATGTAGATAAATATTAAAATATTTGCAAATAAGATGTGAAGAATAATTTTTGAACAGATTAATTAATTTGTTAATAACTACGACGATGATTACGTTTTCTAAGCATAATCGACTTTAAAATTCTTGTAACAAAGTGCAAAATTTATTATCAACAAAGTGCATAAACGAGAGGGCTCATTGTAGCATCAGTCTCGCGTTTAGAGCAGACTTCCAGCTGAGAACTGACGTACACTAAACTGAAGCCACTTCCTGTTACTCTCTCATTTTTTCCCTGGCATCAAAGTTGCGAGCAAGGTAGAATGCTGCTCGACGGAGCAATTACTTTTAAGCGATACTGTGGTGTTCAAGGCTCGTCGGAGAACGTTATCCTCACCCTTGGATAAGCTTTCTTCATAATTAACTAAAGAGTGAGATGCAAGCATTAAAACGAAGATAACAATAAATTCTAACTTTGAAGTAAGTAATAATCGATATATTATACGCGAATTGCCGCAGCAAACAAAACTTTTTATAACTTTTATAACGAAAACTTGAAACATTTTACTATTTTAATAACTTTTAATATAAGTCAACTTTTTTTTATTATCTTTAAAGCAATATTAATTATTTCTACGGAAATAATAATAAAATGGAACTAAATATATCCAATTAACATATTTAATAATATTTAATAGTATTAGTTATAATGATAGCAAAAGTCAATTGATAAACATTTCTTAAAAAAAAAATCATTAAATATTACTTAATTATAAATTATTTATGTAGAATTGAATCGCTCTTTTAAATTTATTTATTTGGTTTATTTCCATTTCATTTTATTCTGATTTCTCCTCTCTTAATTATCTATGTCGATTGTACATCCAGGATCGATGACGCTTCCGCCCGTGCCTCGCAATTGTAATTTAAGGTAACATAAAACTCAAGCGTGCAAGGCACGCAGAAAAACGTAAGTATCTCTACACGTATCACACGCATGTGTGACAAATGTGTCTCTTGCGTTGCGTTTGACGAATGAATCGCGCCAACGATGCATAGTGCAAATGATGAACGCGACATACACACTTAACAATAGTTAACAGTTGTTGGAATGCGTGACTGGCCGAGAGCAATTTTCAGTACAAAAACATAAATGAACAATTAATCATTCTGGTAACAATATTGTAATTAACATCCGATGCTACAGACATAATGTACAAACAATTCAGTTTAGTTCTCGTCGCAACAAACTACTTTACTTCGCGAAGCCGAAGAAATTCTACGTCTCTTTGCTACAATTTTGAGTTAATTTTGACGTTATGTCGATGACAACTTGGTCAATAATTACAAACTAATGCAATTTAGCGACCAAATTCGAAATCCAATATCGAAATCAGGTCAAATGATAAATGCCTGAAAAATTTGTGTTGTACTTTTAGCTCGAAACAATCGTATTCTAAGAAAAGAATGTTTTAAATAATCTAAAGCTTTGACGAGTCGATCATTAGAACTCAATAAACTGAAATTGGACGTCCTTTATTTTTCATGTAAAATTTATTTATTACCAAAGATTTATTTGCTCAATACTCAATTAATTATTTTTGGAAGATGTCAAAACATTCAGATAATCAAATTGTATCTTAATATCAATTATATTTATTCAGTAATATTTTTGAATTTTACGTATAAGAATATTCTTATTGTTTAAAAATAAAAATAAAAATTATCTTCACATATTTGACTTGATTTAAAAGTTTCGTCTCTTTAAAAATTCATATATTTTTGACATTCATAATTACACACCCTCGCGATACAAACTTTTCCAATTTTTTCTTTGGAAAATTTTTAAATGTCTTTAAAATCGATGCGATACTTTCAACGTTACTGTCTCGTGCAAGCTTCAACATAAATGTGAGACGTTGAAACCAATAATACCAAACGATTCGCCCGATATGTAGATCTGGATCTTGAATTGAGATTGGAAGCGCGACTTTAAATGGGCTGGCCCTTCACCATCCTCCGTTCTTCTTTCCCCCAAGATATCGAACAACCAGACGGTGTATGAATAGCAATGAAGGAGAAAGGAGGACGAGAAAGGAGGAGTGCCATCCTCGAACACGAAATTTATTTAAACGCTCGAACTATTCCGCAATTGAATTAAATTACTCCTTGTTGTTGCAAATGATCGAATCTTCGATATGAGAAGAAATGTTGTAAATGTTTCTTCGTTAAAATAGCTTAATCATATATCTTCGGTTACGTTTCTATATTTGCGGATTGTAAATCAGTTAGAAAATGTACATTTGGTTTGTAAATGTAAAGTTTTTGTTACTATTTTCACAGTTCAAACCATCTAGATTATCTAACTAATAGATGACGAGTCATAATGTCACTTAATCGCTATTTAATAGGTATTATTAATAGTCACATCAAGTAACCGAAAATCCATTATCGTTGGGATTTGATGCATTTTATTTATAATAACATGAGTATTATTTTAACAATCCATTCTCTTTAAGGTTTCAATCAATGATTAACTCATGTAAAATAATTATGATAATTTGTGACGTATATAAAAATTCAAGATCCAACTTAAACGAAGCAAATTAAAAAGTAGATTAATTACAATGCAAGTATCTACAAACACAATTGTTTTAAAATAACAACATTCACAAAATATTAAGTTTTCATGACAAACTTTTATTTTAATAACAATCTTGCTTGTTGTTTTGAAATGAAATGACTCTCATCACACGATACAAGAAGAAATTTCTATAAATCCGATCGTCGCACTTTCTGGGTGAATAACATTCCAAAAAGTGCAATATCTCGAACAACGTGAGGTGTTTCATAACCGATATTTAGGAGCTACAATATTTTCGCCATGGTGTATGAAAGTACGAAAATGTACAAAATAAAATGCTCATCAAATGTTGTACAAAATAAATTGCTCCCGTAACCGAGATATATCCCTTTTTCAAATATTACCAAAGCTTCTGACTATCCTGGTTATCGCAATATCTGTTACATCTCACGTTACTCATCCGTGGTTAATAAAACGAGGCACTCGACGAGAAGTGGCAGAGTGCATGATACTCAGAATCGAATGTCTCGAAACGTTCGATTTGTACTTGAAGGGGTTCGGCGAGGAGAGTTCTCCTCCTCGGTCCACGGAGAGGAAGACGTCCGTTCCGAAATGGAGGGAGGCCCGAGGAAACGCGAGGATCGATCCTCGAAATCCCGGAACGCACGAGAGAAACGTCTGCACGAGAAAGCTGCACCTCGGCACCCCCTACGAGGACGCATTCCGCCCTTGGAGGATTCGCGTTTCGAGACCAATATCCTCGCCGCCGGCCTTGGAGCGGCTATCCCCGAGTGTCTCTTGCTTCATCCGTCCGCGATTTCCGCGTACATGCATATATTTTCACCCTGTGTATACGCCATGAATATTTCGACGATCGCTCGCGCCCTATTCGACAAACGCCCACGAGATAAATCGACGAGACGGAGAATCGCTATCGAGACGAAGCGGTCTCGCGGGAATATCGCTGCATTATATTTGCATTATTTTTACAATTTTTAGTTACATTTTGCTATTTTTAATATTAAAGACTTTATCATAAATACAACGGAATATATTTTTGAATCTGATTTCCTTGCCTCCGTATCCGTGAATAATTTATAATGAAAGCACCTATGATTCAATGGCATTATTGTATATTATTTATTCATTTCTCTTTCTAACGCCACGTTATTTGAAATCAGAGTCTCGTCAGTCTCGATCGTCGATTCATGGCGTGTCAACTTATCGATCTCTTGTACGTACCGTTGAATTCGCGATAGAACGTCTGACGGGACTCGATCGCTCCCATCGACACCCGCAATTTTCCTTTGTCGTCGTAAATCCACCGCGACGAATCAACGTCGCGATCGGTCGAGATTGCTCGCGCCGTGAAATATGAAACGTACGCTTGACGGATGAAGCGCGAGCCCAAGGTGGCGGCGACGAGCCTCTTGGACGATCCTGCGGGGGCGGGGTGTATACCAGGAATTGTGCACCGCATGTCGTATCTCTGCATGCTGAGAATCCGTACTTGGAAAATCGACGAATCGGCACCCGCATGCCCTGTAACTTACGGCTTGTTTTCTCTCTGAACTGTGTAGTCTGTTAGTGTGTGTGACGCCTACTACGATTCTGTCTACTCTCTATACTCGACTCACTATACTCTCCCCTTCGTTCCTCAAACGTCGTCGAGCAATATATCGGATGGTTGTAACAAGTTGGGACAAGTTGGTGGTTGACATTTAATAAAATTCGATTGAAACAATGAATTTGTCCATGTTACGTATGTATATCTATTTTCTGCATTCTAATATCCGATAAGTAAGTCCAACGAAGTATTTTTGAAAAAAATTTCTTGTAAATTGAACATATTATTTGTCGGAAATAGAATTTATAATTTGCGAGTATTTAATTCCGATAATATATTTGATTTTTACTAATTGTAAGATGTTTAATCAAACGAACGAAGATGTATAAATATACGAGATAAATCTACAGATCTCTCTCTCTCTTTCTTTATTAAATTTATAGAAAAAAAGTTTTAATGCTGAATTAATATAACGTGATAGTCGAGAAAAGAAAAATATACAATTAAAAATGAAAGAAAATGACACTTAATAATTTAAGGGGTATCCATTTCATTTACGAACGATCAATGCGGAACAGAAGGTTAACCCTCTTGGTCGGCATCTCGCGGCCTTGCGACGATCCTTCGGGAATCCCAAAATCTCTTAAGAACGAAATCACGCTCGGCGAGCACCGCGTCGCCCCGGGATAATTTCTCGCGTGCAGTAACGCTCAATACGAGGATCCCTCGGCTCTCTAGATGGAGTTTCAAGTCCCGCAGTATTCTCGAAGGAGCCCGAAAACCTTCTCAGGAAGAGATGCCAGATCGCCTGTCGATTTCGATTACCGGCCGGTTCATTTAACTTCGTCTTCTTGCCGGCTTTTTATTTCGCATCGCACCATCGCGTCCGATAAACGAGAAAACGGCGATATCGCGGTAAGAACACTTAGAAATATATTTGCTGCTCGATAATAACGCGCTCGAACTGATTCATGATTATGCATTTAAAATAACGGTTTAAATATAAAGTATTAAAAATGTAGAAAATGTAATGACAGATACGTATTAAAAGAAAATTCCTTTGACTAAATTAAATTGACACAATATATACACATTAAAAGTGTAATATAAGAAGAAATAAGTGTAATATAAGAAGAATATAAATATAAATGTGCATTTTAAAAAGGCTAACTCGTGTAATTGACAGTAACGAAATTAAATTTGATTTTTGACAGTAACAAATTTAAGGTTGCTTTTAATTAAATTACAAATTTAAATGACATTTTTCTTTTCAATCATTTTATGATTTATTGCTTATATTAAACGTTCATTTTAAGAGCATTTTAAAAATCAATTTCATATAATAATATTAAAGAGATATTAATAATAGATGATAATAAAGTTGCGATCTTTATGTATAATGTGTGTGTGTGTGTGTGGGGGGGGGGGGGAGGTGTGGGTGTGTGTATGTGTGTGGGTGTGTGTACATACGTGTGTACGAGATACATTTTAATATATAAAAATAAAGTACTTCTTTTCTCGGAATAATTTATTTTATATATATAATTAATATATTTATTTCCTTCAATTCTCAAATATAGAATAAAATAAAAATTGTCAAATTTTTTCTTTTCTATGAAAGTTTGTCATTAATTGTTTTTATAATAAAAAGCTTGAAATATTTTTAGTATTAAAATATTAAAATCTAAGAAAATATTTTATCGAAATTAATTATTGAAAGAGAGAGATCAAACAACATAAATGCAAGAAAATATGTGGTAAATATAAACATCTTACATAAGTTAATAAATTTTTAATAAATATATAACATTCTCCGAAAAATTAATGAATTAAGAACTTTCTTATTAAATAATAAGCGGAAATAAATACTTTCATTTTTTTTAACAATATTCATATTTATTCGAAAAACAATTACCTAAATACATTTTGATTACTTTGCAATTAACTTTTTGTAATTATATCCATACATAATTTTATTACACATTTTTACTTAATTTCTTATTTAAATCTTTTCTGTCATTTTTCAAATAAAACTTTGATTTGTCTAAAATTCTTACGCAAATGGGAATACATTTTTCATGTGAGAACGTTTCAAATTAATTTTGCAACGTGGAACGTTGTGTCCATAATTATGCTGACCTATTGTCGCGTTCAGCGTCTGGGAACATTGATAATACTCAATATCCATGCGATTATTTATCTCGACAAACAAGAGCTAATATATCATCTCCTAGGGATATCGAACTAAAATCTCCTCTACGCGATGATTCTCCCGTCAACGCCCGTGCACCGCAACTACCACCACCATCACCACCGTCACTATTACCATCACGACACTTAACTCCACAACAACAGCACGCAGATCTCGCACGTTGCGTACCGATGGCGAACGCGCACCCTCACTCACCCTGTTCTCGTCCGCGGCTCTGCTTCTGTGTTACAGAGGTCCTGCCCTCCTCCACCTCCGTAGACCTGTCGGGCACGGATTCGGCCCTGTACCCGTTCGACCCGCAGCAGGAGAACTACCAGGAGATCTGGTTGCCGCCGACCAGTAGGTACCCCTATTTTCTGTACCCCGGGACCGCGCGCACTCCGTCGTACTACGACCCCGACAGCACGTACGACATACGGGAGCCCGGCGATCGCTATCAGCATCACCACCGCCACGGCGATCGACATCACCACCAGGAAGTGCCGGAACTGCCCGGCAGGCCAGCCGTTCTCGTTGTCGAGGCGTACGACCCTCGTGCCGATTCGGACGGGTACGAAACCGACGTGAATCGGTTCGAGGATCGCGCGGCGACCTCGCGTCCAGGCGCTGATCATCCGGATCGGTCGACGGATAAATCTTTTTCCTCCTCTCCCTCTTCTTCTTCTTTCTCCTCTTCTTCTTCTTCTTTTCTTCTTCTTCTTCGTCTTCGTCTTCGTCTTCGTTGTCCAAGCATGACCGCGTCTCCGGCACAGTGCACCTGCAGCCCCAAAGCGAGCATGACGCGCACCCGCACCAGCATCGGCACCATCACCACCAACAGCACCAGCACCATCACCATCGTCAGCACCCCGCACTACCCGCACCGCCGACCGTCGTCGCGACGCTGTCGTCGTCGTCGCCGGGCTCGTACGCGCCGGCGGCCGCTCGTCCCACGCCTACCGTGTTGGACGAGCCGTTGGGAGCCCACGGGCCCGGCCATGCCGAATCGCCTCGGCTGCCGGCCCCGAGGAAGTTCGCGCCTAGGCCCACCTACGAGCACCGCGCGATCTTCGACCGCGCCGATGACGATCTCGATGACCTCGAAATCAGGCCAGCCGCGCCGCCCGTCGATCGGTTCTTCGATCTCCTCGAGACCGTCGAAGGGTCCGTCGATCAAGGTTCGTACCGGGTCCACCGGCACGCGCAAGAAACCCCATTTTCTAAAGGAAAAGTCGGTCGCCGAAGGATATGTCCAGAGGCACGTTAGATCTCCGGAAAACGGATCGTCGCGAATACGTCGGGCACTGTGATGGACATTTTTCTTTAAATCTTTGATAGAGTATTTTCAGAATAAAATTGGAAACTGTGAAAACTATGCTGACGGTCTCCAAAATTTTTATGCATATAGATTGAAATTATTGATTATATCCATTGAAATTAAATTGTTAAGTCCATATAGAGGATTCAGGAATAATATTTATAGAAATAATTTAACAATTAAATTTTAAACTTAAAATTTTTATTACTATGTACGTATGTTTACTTTTATAATAATGTAAAAATATACGTTTATAATACCCATCCATGTCCCAGCGTAAGTCGCTTTAATAATTTATCAACATAAGAAGCAAATTACTTGTGAAAAATATATATGTACGTATCACAGGTAAATATATGAATGTAGGAACTTCTAATAATATATTGATACGCGTATTAACAGCAAATTAATAATTTTTTAATGGGAAGGTAAAACGACTAACATTAAAAGTTCAGGTTGTTCGTTATTTAATATATCATATATTTTTTTCTCAATCTTCCTTCTTTAACTTACTACATAAACATTTTTAATATTTTAAAAATGATTTTTCAACTTATTGATTTTTCGCGCAATGTTATCAGATTGTGTAAGAGTTTAATGTCTTATTTAGAATCTTATATAATACATTTTTTAAATTAATATAAGAGTTAATGAAATTTAAAAAAACAAAAATAAATATTATTAAAGTTTGACAAGTATTGATGAACAAAGACATTAGAATAAGATATTTTCTTTTAAGAAGGAAAATAAAAAATATTTTAGTTTTTGTTTACTTATATTTTTATTGCTATTACCGTTTACAAATTAATGTTAAAAGCAAATTTTATATTCGAGGTACTTACATCAACAAATCTTTTTAAAAACTTTTAATAATCGGATAGATTAATTTACCATTCTCGAATCAAAGAAAGTGAAAATTTAAGTACGTTGTTTCAATTACAAATATAATTGACAGCAATTTTCTTATTTATTTTTTCAGTAAGATTGAAATTTTATTTAATGCACTTGAGTACATTTAGGACGGGTTAAAAAGTTGTGATTAAATCGTGATTCATCTCGTTTTCGCTCATTTTGATTACTACAACGCCGAGAAAAAAATGCTTTCAATTCCATTACATTAATTTCTTAGATTCCTCGCGTTTGCGCTGCGGCATCGTTCGCAGTAAAATTTTCGCGCAAATATTTTCGCAGATTATCTAAAAAAAACGCTCTCGTAATTTTCCAATGATCTTTAAATGCAATTGTGCAGCTCACGAATGCAGGTGTAATTTCAAATGTGGCTCTTTGATGACTTCTGGAATTACGTAATATTTTCTTTCATTTTCTCTTTACAAGATGAGAAGAAATCGGAAGAAAGGTTTTTTAATTCCTTCTATGAAAATGGATTTTTCTTCAAGATTGCGCTATCTATGCACAACTTGTTACACTCGGTCATTTACAGTGAAGGTCATCGCCCATCCCGACAATTCCTCCAGCCTCGAAGTGATTGAATCGCAATTGGAAAATCCGCTGATTGATCATCATGCCGATCATCATAATTTATTCAACATGAAGCAGATCCCTATTCCAGGCCATCATCATCGCACTCACCACAAGAAAAACCAGACGGACGATTTCGAACGTAAGTCTTGCCTCTTATCTTATTATCTTTATTTTATTATCTATTTCTTAATTAAAACCATTTCTTCAAATTAAGATAATTTTTTAATTGACAATGTTTTTTTATTATTCACAATGCCTTTTACATTTAAAAATAAATATGTTTTTCTTAATAAATAAATAAAACTATTGATTCAATTTAATTTAATTTAATTTTATTTTATTTTCAAATAAATAAATCAATTAAACAAAATTTTGTATAATGATACATTGCATTGTTAAAAATATATTAGTTAAATTATTTATATTTTTATTATATATAGAATGCATAAATATAAAAATATATAACAACAAATTACTTATAATATATTAATTTATCAAGCATATAATCACACATATGATGATTAGAAAAATTAATCTTTTAGCTCATTATTGTCAAAATTAATATAATGTAATATAAAATGTGGTGTGGACGAAATTGTCAATTACCGCTTTTTTTTTTATATTCCAGCACAAATTGCGCGCAATCAATGCGAATAATAAGACATCCAATGCGTGATCATAAATTTTTTCAACAAGTGATCTTTTCTTCGAAAATGATGAGTTATATCAAAACCGTCGTGCATCATGGAAAATTCCATTTGTTTTAATACTCTGTACAAATTCATATTTTCTTTTAAACTGCCTGTGACGGCACATTGTTGACAAATAGTTGAGTTTTGTGTAAAAAAAGAACCAAAAAAAAAGAGATGCATAAAGCCTTTTTGTTCTTGCCAATTTTATCAAAGCGCGATGCATGATGAAAATCAGCAGATTATCTTATGGATGGTCATAAATGTTTCATCTTTTATCTTTTTAACATCTTTTGATAATTATATTATTTTTAAATATAAAAGCATTGTTTGATTTAGATTTAGAAATTACGGATTAAAAATATTGAAGTATATTGTGATTTACATGAGCTCTAGACAAAATTTTTTAAATAAGCTATTGTTTATTTTATAGATTTTTTTTCGAAACCGTTATAAACTAAATGTTATAAAAAATGAATCAATTTAAATTAAAACAAATCATATATCCCTCTTCAGAGCTCCAAAAATTCGTTGTTATTCATTAACGAGGAATGAATGTAATACGATACACATTTTCGATGCAAATCTGTTTATAAACTGCAAATAGAAAAAGAATACACGGAGAGAGTTTATAGTATTACGTGCTACAATATAAAATTCTGAAAATTCATGGCAATATCTCGCTGAAAATATTAATTACATATCGTGGTCTGATAAATCTTCGCGCGTCCGAAATAATTTTTCGTGTTTTGAAGAGGAAAAAAAGAGCACGTCCGTTTCAATATCGAATAGTGATAACCAATTACAATAAAAATGCTTCCCAGTGAGCCGATGCAACACGATGAAATGAAATTCATTAGTTTCCGTGCAATAAATATATTTCCACGTGCAAGTTTATTATACGCCAACTAAATAAATTGCTTCGCTTGATATCGCGATACTCGCGAAATCTGATTCTTTGTATTTTTATTTCTCTAATGCAAAACATTTTATTTATTTTATTTATTATAATTGTATTTTATTATCTGTATTATATGATTACACCTAAACACTCTATACCAACAAAAAATTAAAATTACGTATTACGTATATAAAATTACGTATATAAAATTGTTATTATGAAAATATTAATAACAATATTTTAAATTATATATCTGCATGCAGATATATAATTTAAAACTTAATTGATCGCAAATTATTAATTGTTACATCTTTACTCTTATACATGTTTATGTAACAGGGTAACCCGTGTATACATATATACATGTAGACATATATAAAAGTAAAAATGTGATAACAACAATTCGTGATTAGTCAAGATAAATGATAGAAGAGCAAATAATAGAAATTAATTTTTAGATTACTTCGACAATCGCGATTTTCCGTCGACGAGATGAAAAAGCAGACGATCGATCGCATCTCCGCGAGGTAATATCTTACGAAGATATCACCTCAACGAGTAAGATTTATCGCGGCAAAAGTTTAATTTAATTTCAACTCTCTCTCCGGTTGCTCTCATTTCCTGCTTCTCCTCGTATCTCTCTTGCGCGTCTGCATATTATTTCTCGAGCCGCCGGATTTGGAACTTTAATCCGCCATCGTGCTCAAGATTCGCCCAAGTTTTCGTCGTATTCGATATTACACGACGGTTTTACATCGATCGCCATTTTCCAGATTCAAGAGAAATGTGTCTGCACGGGCAGATGCACTCATTTGATCGCTCACTTTTTGTTGAAGAGATACGAAGTCTGCCAATCTTACCTTTTTTGCAATTTCTTATTATTTGTTCAGAAATTATTTCTTTGTACGAAGCCAATGAAATTCTTACGTAAATTTATGATACTGTAAATTGTTAACTGTTAGAACAGCAAAATATCTTAATTGAAATTGTTGTCCTTTATTTGCAAATTCTTAATATCAATACATCAATTTATTCTTTTTCTATTTTAAACGAAAAAAGATTATTAGCAATATAATAATTTTAATAATTCAATATCTCTTATTTAACTTTTTCACATTTTAAATGATAATGAATTTCAAAATATTACACTTTAAAATGCGCAAAAGTTTACTCTTTATTATTCATTTGTTTTAATTAATAAAATTTGTCCTAAATTTGTCAAAAATTATAAATCTTATTTAAAAAACTTTACTGCGTTTGAAAAATTTCAGATAGATAACGTTTTCAATGAACATTAGCATAATTAACCTGTACATTATAACTGTAAGGACAGTTTATTTATTTAGCTTCACCAATAATAATCTTATACCTATGTTATCTATTTGTACTTTGCCTTCAAAAAAGTTAAAAAAAGAAAAATATTGTTATGCGCGAGTCTTCTGCGGCCGAGTGGAGTCGAGCTGCCGTTTGGAGTAGAAACGCTCTTCGAGGCAACGGTTGTTGTTTACGAAGAAGTACGGCGCGGTGACTCGTGGCGTACGGACGTGTGTCCGCCGAATTATTGTGATTGTTCTGATTTGAATAAAGCCTACGTATTTTAATTAAACGGCGTTGTTCATTGCCGAGCGCGGCTTCCTCGCGGAACGCGCGTTAAGTGAGAGCGTCAGTGGACCGCCGCGGACGTAACAATACGATAAACGTGAAAACGCGCGTTTAGATTGACTTATCGAAATTCTACCAGGGCAATTAATATTGTCCGATAGTAATATTACTATCGGAAAAACGAACAATAATTTAAATTCTATCCAACAATCGTGCATTGTAAATTTTTTACATTAATTACAACTGGCTACTTTCTTATTTGTTAATTAACATTGCAATATCCATGATATCCATCCATGATTAATGTTTTAATACGATTACAAATGCATTCAAGAAAGAGATTGGCGCAATTAATTGTGAGAATAGCTATACTTAACTACCAGTGAGAAATAAGACCGATGATTAATTAATCTTTTATGTAATAAATTAAAACGCTAACATTCTCAGTTTCAGTTTTTTATAACAAGAGCGTTATTGGATGTAACAAACAATTTCAAAATATCTGCTCGGCAAAAATTCAGTCTTTATTTGTATAAAATAAATATTTGTTGAAATAATAAAACTTTTATTAAGTATATAATAATTTAATAATATAATATAATATTTTCTTAAACAATAAAAAATGAAAGATGTTTATTTGATAAATATAAAAATTGATATAAAATAAAAATACTTATACTTTAAGAAAAATATTTCTTGTTTAATTTTAAAACTATAATTAATTCATCTTTTCTTGAAATAACAAATGTCACAATTTTCAGAACAACATAGATAAATTATTTTAATTAATAATCGTTTAAAGTAAATCATGACATGTGGATAAAATGAACGCAGGGTAAAATATGTAAATTATCCTTATCCGTTAAAATAATATGGAAATGTTGGAGGATTTTTTGCTTGACATGACTCCATGGTTAATCATGAATCACACCGCGATTAGCTAGCGTTTTTGGCACTGGCATAGATCTTGTTTCTCCGCAATTATTGCTGTAACTAATTGCCCGCGCGGCCAATTAACGTCAAATATGGGAAATGCAATTGCGATCGGGAAACGCGGCCCGCTCAGCGCTTTGCGCGCTTCTTTAACGCGATTTTCTCTCAATTACAGCTGCGCTAATTACTCGGTTGGCCGATCAATTACGGATATTCATTGCGGTTTGAAATATATATAAATAGCGGATAAAATCGAGAGACCGCTCTATGATAGTGGGCTAATGATTAATTAGCACGTTCGCTCGCTCATCAATTGTCACATTTGATGGATTGTATATTATCCTATTTTTTTTTTTTACTTGTTACTTTGCATGTTAGAATCACTTAGTTAAACTTAATAAAGAATGATTTAATATTATATTATATATTTGCTACATATTACACTAGATGATTTAAAATAATAGAATAAAAAATGAGTTTTTATATGATTTTTCTGTGCAAGACGTTTTTTTTTTTTTGTTTAGTTTAATTGGCTATATATGTACTTGGTTAAAATAAATAATTTCTAGTTTATTTAAATTAATAAATTTAGAAAATTGTACATGTTATGAAACGTAATAAACTTTTATTACGTAATTTAACTTTTGCAATAAAATTTATTTGGCCAAATAAAACATCTAATGATATAAATAATGAATATATAAATTACTCGCACGAAAAATCGTTTTCAGAATAATTTTATCGAGATGCCCTCGCCGTCACACTGTCTATTAAAATTACATTTACACATGACTTATCTCAGTGGCAACTTATCTGATTTAATTTTTACATTGAACATTTAATATTTAACTCGGAAGTGGGCGCGTATGATGAGAGCTTCCCGACGTGATTGAATCACTCGTTAAAATGTAGAGAATAATCACGAGGCAAATTTTGTACTCGGTGAATTTGCTCGCGGAATTTGTTACAGTATTATAAATTTCAGCCGATTTCGTCCAGTTCAACATCGAAAATTCGCGAAATGAATAAGCTGCTGTGAATAAGAATTAGCGGCTTTATATCTCGCGAATGAATCTCGCGACGAGCGAGGAAGTGAATTATCTCAAGTGAATTTTGATCTTTTTTAAGAGCCGCATTTAATCGTTAGTATCGCGTAGTGTCGTGGATATCTCATCCAATTTAACGTTTTGCGCTGAATATGCAACGCAGACAGACAAGTCACGAGTGTCGACGAATTAAACTTGCAATTTCATTAACCGGCGATTTGCATTCCCGTCAACTTTATGACGCACGGCGGCAAAAATCGCGACTGCAAACTTGCAAGACGTATTCATGGTTCCGGTTATTTCTAGGTTAGTAATAAATGAAATTTAATGAAAATCACAGAAACAGGGGGAGACGGATATAAACCATAGCTTGGATCTAACCGAGGTTTGAGGTATCCTGACAGTCCCTGTCACGTTTCGTCGCTCTATGTTTCTACGTGACGTGTCTGACTCATGGCGGATTTTGCGGCTCGTTTTATGAACCTATTTTAGGGAAGTGAAACGGATTTGTTAATGTCGTAAGAATCCTTCGTGTAAATTTCTTTGCTTTAAGATAATTGACAGCAGCTTGTTAATCAATATTAATCAATTAAATTGTTCCACATTTTTTTTATATTTTTTTATAGTCGTATATCAACTTATTTGTGTTACTTGATTATTTTCTCGATTAATCTTCTTTTATTATTGCAAATTAGAATCGACAAAAAGAACTCGGTGTTTGACACCATTAGCTTAAGTGCTGCGACAAGCACGTGTTTCACTCATGGTGTTTTAGGCGTTTTCCATTTTCCATGAGCAAATGATCTCGTTGGTTCGAGAGTCTAACGACTCACCGAGTGAGTTTCTGCATCCTCGCACCTGTGTCACCGAAAAGGTCTTCACCTGACCGAAGAGCCGCGATATATCTCGCAACGCGAAAGCGAACTCAACATCGATCTCGACAAGCCGGTACGACACGAATTCGAATTACTGCCAGTAGTTGAGATTGCCCTTCTTCTTTTTATTACCAACCAGATCCGAAATTTGCGATATGGGATATTGTGGATATGTAAAATGCATTTTGTTTTATCTTCTCGAAATCGTTCCAATTCTGCACTTTGATATTTATAGTTTAGCCTCTCCTTCCCTCTCTTTGAGTTTTATTAATTTAATACTGAAAAAGAGAAAAAGAAGTTTTAATTTAAACAACGTTATCAACAACTGTACTGTATTTCGAAAAATCTGTTAATAAAAATAATAATGTGATTTTATATTTATGCACATATATGTACAATTATATTCTCTATTGCAATTTATTGCAATTACCTAGAAATAATTTCTTTTCTATGTAGATATAGTCTACTTTCTATCGCTTTCTATTAAAATTTCTACCTCGCTTTTATTAAAATTTTAAACAGCTATTGGCACATCTTCTTTTATTACATCGAAACAAATACACATACAGATAAACCATTAGCGATTCAGGAGTGCGATTAAGGCCTCCAAAGGGATAGGAGGGGGTTGACGGTCGCTTTGTCTTAATAAAGTGCGTCAAAGCCATGCTCTTCATGGTAGTTGACTTATGGCCAGTCATCTGGCGAGGCGGCTTTCCTCATGGGGAATCCTGGACCCTTTTTTCCCCTTCATGCCGAAAAGGTAGTCTTGATCTCCCTTCCCGATATTCACGGGCATTCCTTCGAAATCGTTAACCCCGTCGCCAGAGTCCATCAATCGAAGAGAGGTTGGTTAATGATGATGATCATTCGTCATCGGACAGATATTCAATGCCTCGGACAATCGCTTATTGATTTTGAGTCTGCTACGAGGTCGGAAATTTTGCAACAAGGATTTCCACGACAGTTCATTATTTCTTTTATGAGAATATTTTAAAATCTATTTTCTTGAAAGGAAACGCACGTCAATTTAAAATTGATATAAATATGCAAGATTTTAACAATATTTCTAGCGTCGATCAAATTTAATCTGAAGTTTGGGGTTTAATAGCATTTAAATGATGAAGAAAAATTGCCTGTTTGTCCTGACTTGGATTCAAAATTCTTGGATAATTCTTACAAAGTTGAAAATGAAGGAGACGATAAGTATCGCTTCCGTCTAAGCGCATCGACGCGCCTCGTTGATGATTTATCATTTATTTATGTCCCTTCGATGAGAAAAGTGGGTCTTCCTAGTGACTGTGTAAACAGTGCATTACGGATAGGAACAGGTAGAACTGTTTAACTATGCTGATATCGATCTCTTTCGAAGAAGAATGTTGCACACATCTGCGATCGATGGTAAAAACTCACGTTCCAATTTGTGCTGGAGGAATCTTCAACATCGCGCTAAAATACTAGATATATCCATGATAAATGATGCTTTTCAACAATTTATCAAATGCGGACTCGTCTGTACAATTGCATTACATGGCGCTAATTGGAAAAGTTTCGCCGGTCACAATGAAAATTTTACCTTGTTATTTTTACATGCATATTTGATCAATATAAATTTAAAGTAGGATATTAAATGACTGCATTTGTTATCGTGAGTTAAGATAAATTACATCGTACGATCGTGTCTTCTACTTTTCTTTTAAACGTCGAGCGTATTTCTAACTTATCACACAGAATTATAGACTTTTCTCTCTTCAGTGTGCTATATAATGTTATATAATGAAGTAACGGGCAGAGATGTAATATATAACTGGATTTTATATTAGTTATTTTCACGAACGTCTTTCTTTCTTAAGATAAAAAAAAGTATGATTTATGTCTTTATTTACAGATCAATTATACAAAATTTTTATATGTAAAGGAATTATAATTAGGCTTTGTTTTAATTACAAACAGTTGAATCAACATAATGCGTTTGTTTGCTTCGCAGAAACGGGTGTGGAATCACCGTCCTCAGACATCGATAAGCTTCAGCAGCCGGTGAAAGTGATCTTATCCAGCACTTGTCAGCATGCTTACACGTCCTGCAAGTAAGTTTGCAAGTTTAATTGATTGATAATTACAGACAAGATAAATTACATATGAATGTTTTTCTTTGCTCAGAAATGATCCGGAATGCAAGAATCTCCTGCAACCTGTTCTGAACCACTGCGACTCAACGACGTGCGCGAGAAACGAGTGTATGGAAGCGTTGCAGCATTTCTATAAGACCGCCAATCACAAGCATTCCGTGGAAATTGCTTTCTGCCTCTGCAGGTTAGTTGAGTAAAAATAGCAATTTTTTTTTTTCCTAACTCTCACCGTTACTGTTATATTTTTTATTATTATATTTATTATAAATTGGCTATACAATTTATACAGACTTAATTTTTATTTCTCTTTACGTTTTCAGGCTTATTCGAATTTTTTATATTTTTATTTTTATCGTATGTTGTCGCAAAATATAATTTATCGTTTAGAAAACTGTATCGCAATTTTGTGTTCCTCGCAAACACCATTCTTTCCGGTAGAAAGATTTTGCGGCCACATAACTACATTCGAGCAATTGCCCTTTTCAGTTGTGTTCCGTCGGCACTGAATGTTTAATTGCTCGTCTATTGTCGTGAGAAAGTCGTGTTAAAATATTAACGCAGGGCACTGCGCAGGTGACTGTGTCGCGACACAATGCGCGACGCAACGTGAATTAATAACGGATTATTGTAACGGAAATGGTGTGGTCCACGAACGCGAAATGACGAATCAAATGTCGGCGCCGTCGTAAATTAATTTAGAATTAATCGAAGAACGCGCATTGTTAACTCGCGGCCTAATTACGCACGCGCGCATACGTGCTCGCGCCGGCGAAAAATTTTTTCGAAATCCAACATATCGGGCAATCGAAATTGTTTCGAATCGCTATGCGAAACAATGCACGCCCCGAGATGCATATGCCGAGTAGCGCGCGTTACATTGCATCCGGCTACGCGCGGCCGAATCAACTGATATGCCGAAAAAGAAAACGCAAATACGTTTCACTGACAGAAATGCCAGATCATGTTCTCGATGCGATCATCCCCGATGCAGCCATGCATTCAATTGTTCGGATGAAGGTAATAATAGGCACAATGCAGAATTGCAGGGATGAATAAAGTAGAGAGAACATATAATTGCAACCGATTGTTCTCGGTGCATTATTATGAAAATTTCAAACTAAGTTGACAAATGATAAGGCACTGTTTCTTATGCGTTACCTGACTGCAAATGTCTCTTTGACGTTTCTTATAGAAAAAAAAAATTCCTACAATACATACATATGCTTAACCAGATAGAAATGTTAACAAATTTTTGCAATATTTTATTTGTGTTTTTTATAAAAGTAAAATTTAATTTAAATTTTTACATAATCTTTATGAAATTAAAGA